GAGCTGTGAGACCTCAGGGAAGTCACTCCACCTCTCTGAGATCCAGTTTTCCCATTTCCAGAAAAAGAACTACAAAGCCACACGTTGGGGGGATGGGGAGGCGGAGCAGGGGGCACGCGAGGATTAAAAGCAATGTCTACAAAAGCATGCTGTCAACAGGTGAGAAAGTGACAGTCCTAACACCTTCCATCCAGAATGTTCCAGGCACAAGACATTCTTCTGCCAAGTGTTTTCACGTATGTGACTGGTGATCCGTGTAAACCTGTTTTGAGGTCCAGTCAACAGGAAATATTTCCTGAATGGGGAGGACACAGCCCCTGTTCTGAGAGCCAGGTTTAGTGGGAGAGCGAGACAGTTCCAGAACTGGCGGACAAACGTTAGGACAGAGGGACACAGCACAGCGGGAGGCCACCTGACCCTGCCTTGGGGAATCGGGAAGGCTTTATCGCAAAGTGATGCCCAGGTGACAGGTGGAGGTGTAGTTGGCCTGGCCAAGAGGGGTAAGTGGGGACAAGGGATGTTCCAGGCAGTAGGGACGGCACGTCCAAACTTCTGGAGGTTAAGGGGTGAGAGAAAGTATGGCTCATTTGGAAGAACTGGGCCATCCCTCACACCTAGATGATAAAGTTGAAGGTGGAGAGAGGTGAGTCATGGAGGGAGTTTATAAGTCAAGTTTAACAGTTTGCATTTTATTTATGGGAGTCACAGATGTGTTTTAAATGGAGGGTTTAGAGTTTGGGAAACTGGTTGGTTCAGCATCTCTGGCCATGCTCGATACACCCTAAGGGCTGGTGTTTGAAGGCAGAGGGAATGTAGGATTTGTTTGGGATTTTGCCCGTATTCAGTATCCATGGCCCCATTTTCCCTATGATCCCCTAGCTGCCCTTCTCCAACTGGTTATGGTCTCAGTGGGGTGGTCAGTCAAGGAGCTCCTCCTCCTCTGGCCAAGGGTGGGTGTGGTCCCGGCAACATCTCCAGAATTTGATGAATCTTGGGCCTGGGATAGAACAGCTACAAAGTTGCCCAAAAGCTGCCTCCTGAAGAGACTGTCCATCCAAGGCTCAGAGCTGTTGTGGTTTCTGGTTTTCCTTGTCTTCCGCAATTCTTTTGATTAATGAGTTCGCCATAATAAATGACTGAATGATAACTAATTTAATGAGTAATTACATGCACACATATTTATATTTGTGGTAAAAGTTCACCAAATTCATTTCCTGTTGCTTGCTACCAAAGAACCCTAGCTAATATACCAATGGTGATGGTTTTGCTGGATTGAAGAAATAGAAAGCTAGCTTAAGCAAAAAAAAAAAAAAAAAAAAAAAAGAACAAACCAAAGAGGAAAAACGCATTGGCTAGGTACCGGGGTATCTCAAAATGGAAAGATGAGTTGCTTGGGAAGGCCGAGATCCAAGGCAGGTCTGGAGGATTTAGCTCCAAGGCAGACTCCCCGTGGCCTCAGTCTGGTGTGTTTGTGGTGGCGAGATGGCTGACGTATCTTAAACATCAAGACAATATCCCCAGATCTTAGGGAACTGACAATGGCGTGACACAATCTTGGTGATTCCCAGGCTTTGCGTTCGCTGCAAGTTTCAAATTCCCAAGAAAATCTGATTGGCTCAGTTTGGGATAGGCGTCTACTCCAGTGGGGGGGGGGGAGGGGAGGGGACAGGGCTCATGATTCAGACACACCAAGTGTGTCGTCATTGTGAGCTAGGTGGCCATGCCAGACATGTGTTTGACTTGTCTGTTGGTGGGCATCAGACACCTTGGCGCAAGGACATGGAAAACGATCGAACCAGACCAGTTCCACTTGTGCCAAACCAGTTTTCCAAGGGTCCTCATGGTGGCTTTTGAGCTGGTTTGCCATCACCCAAGGAGAGCCATGGGCTTCCCTAGAATCAGAAGGACGCCTGCCTTGGGACACCTGCCTGGTGCCCAGGACCTAGGCTCCTACAGGGTGGCCTTGTACCAGGTAAATCATTTCCCTATACCCACCACTGCGCTCTGTAGTTTTTTTTTTTTTATTGAGGTGTAGTTGACACACAATATTATATTAGTTTTAGGGGTACAGCATAGTGATTTGTCAATTACGTATGTTCCACAATGCTCACCACGGTAAGTATAGTTACCATCTGTCACAACGCAAGGTCATTACAATATTATTGACTGTACTCCCTGTGCTGTACTTTTTAGCCCTGAGACTTATTTATTTTGCAGCTGGAAGCTTGTATCTCTTTACATAATCTGCCTACCCCTCCCCCCCTCCCCTCTGGCAACACCCAGATCCTTCTCTGTATTTATGAATTTGTTCTTTTTGTTTGTTTGTTCGTTTGTTTTGTTTTTAAGATTCCACATAAAAGTGAAATCACACAGCATTTGTCTTTCTCTGTCTTATTGAACTTAGCATGATACTCTCTAGGTCCGTACATGTTGTTACAGATGGCAAGATTTTATGCTATTTTACAGCTGAGTAGTATTCCGATGTATGTATAGACCACATCTTCTTTATAGGTTTTAAAGATTTTGGGGGTGCCTGGGTGGCTCAGTCGGTTAAGTGTCCGACTTCAGCTCAGGTCATGATCTCACAGTGGGTGGGTTCGAGTCCTGCGTCAAGCTCTGGGCTGACAGCTCAGAGCCTGGAGCCTGCTTCGGATTCTGTGTCTCCCTCTCTTCCAAATTAGCGTTTTTGTGTTTTGGGGGGTAAACGCTCAGCAGCAAAATAACCGATCATGTGGTATTTCGATTTTTCATTTTTTGAGGGGCCTCCACAGCGGCTGCACAATTTGCTTTCCCACCCACAGTGCACAAGGGTTTCCCTTTCTCCACATCCTCCCCGACGTTTGTTATTTCTTCTTCTTCCCTTGTTTAATACTCGCCATTCTGACTGGTGTGGGGTGATAGCTCATTGCTTTTGACTTGCACCCTAGTCTTCAGGACGTTGAGAAATAACGGAGTGCCTTAGTTAACAGGGCACTGTTTCTTCACTTTCTAAGATGGGATTCAGGCAATGAAAGAGACCTTTACAAGAGGAAGATTTTATTGGGGAGAGAAGGCTGCAAATGAGTGAGCAAGCAGGCTGACCTCATGTTTTTTCTTTTCTTTTTTTTTTTATATGTTTTTTATTTATTTTTGAGACAGAGAGAGACAGAGCATGAGCAGGGGAGGGCCAGAGAGAGAGGGAGAGACACAGAATCTGAAGCAGGCTCCAGGCTCCGAGCTGTCAGCACAGAGCCCGATGTGGGGCTTGAACCCACGGACCGTGAGATCATGACCTGAGCGGACGTCTGCCGCTCAACCGACTGAGTCATCCACGCGCCCCCCCACTTTTTAAATATATGTGAGAACACCTTTTTTCTGAGCTCGTGTGAGATACTCTCTGTGGCCCAGACATATCTGGGGGAAACTGTGAGGGGCGTTGAAGTCCTGTATCAGCAGTCAGGGACTCTGAACCCCTAGAATTCTGGTGCAAACGTTCTTGTCACCTTAATTGTACTCATAGACTAGTGAGACCTGGGGACCTCTGGGTCAAGGACACAAAGAGGTAGCAATAATGCAGGTGTCAGAAATGCAGATATGGAAGGTTAGAGCATTGATTTTACCTCCTCCTAGTTAGTGGGTGGGGGGAGTATGGATCCAATCCCACGTCACTTGGACCCAGAATCCCAGTAACTGGTATTCTTTGGTTTCAAATGAAACAGCCACTAAAACCAGCTTAACTAGAAAGGATCATATCTGATTATTTTTTGAAATGGAAGTCTGGAGGTAGATGGTTCTGGAATAGCTGAATTCAGCAACTCGACATTATCAAGCCCTTTGGCTCTGCCATTCATAGGGAAATGGTTCTCAAAACAGCATCCAGGGACACTGTGGGTTCTCTAGACCTTTCAGAGGTTCCTCGAGATGAAAATTATTTTCATAATAACATGAAGATTTTATCTGCCTTTTTCACTCTAATTATCTCACCAGGGTACCGTAGAATCTTCTAGGGGCTTTGTGATGAGTGATGACATC